TCCAAGGGATTCTCAGGAGTCTTCTCCAGCACCACAGTTTGAAGGCATCAATTCTTTGGCATTCTGCCTTCTTTAAGGTTGTTCCACACAGGGTTCTAACTGTTGCTTCTTGACCCGCATACAGATTTCTCAGGAGATAGGTAAGATGGTCTGGTATTCCTATCTCTTTAAGAGCTTTCCACAGTTTGTTATGATCTACACAGTCAAAGGCTTTAGTGTAGTTAATGGAACAGACGTGGATGTTTTTCTGGAATTCAAGGAAATATCTATGTGCATGCTAACCCATTTATATATAAATATCTATAAATATTTTGTAGGTAACCATCTGAATCTTTATTAAGCTAAACATGAGTTCACACTGAGTGACTAATCCCTTACCACGTGGATCAGTCTATACTCCTCCTCTTGCCTGTGTCCCACTCTACCAATGACACACACGTTCGATTCTAGTGTACATTTATGTTGCTTTCAAAATTGTTATCTTGTAATCCCTTAGTATATTTTGACACTTTTTTTTGTTTGTTTGTTTTATTCCTCATTCAGATTCAGGAGCTAGAATCTCTCCTGTGTCACAGTGAGAGTCCATCTCAGCTCATTTGGACATCATCTCGCAATGCAAAGAAATCTAATTTCAGCCTTGAGGATGTCCAGCACAGCAAAGGCCAGGAGCCCTACAGCTCTTCCAAATATGCCATTGACCTTCTGAGTGTGGCTTTGAACAGGAACTTCAACCAGCAGGTAGCCTGTCTCAGTGATCTGGAAATGGCAGCAGTGTTTTCTGAACTACCACTGATTTCTTAGTAAAATGGCTGGCTGTCTATTGTAGTGTGAAGAAGAAATATTGTTTCTTGAGCAGGATTGCTGTGAGGACAAGGTAAGACATGACTAAGACTGATAGTTGATATATAGGAAGCTTAGGACAGAGATAATGAGCTCCAGACTTGTAGGTATATGGGGGTTCATTTACCAGTCTGTAGCTCCTCTGGAGCTATAATTTATATAACAGAATGACACTACTAACGATATCAATAGCTCCTATCAAGCATTTGCCATGTGTCATTTAATACCTTTCCCATCACAGTGAGGTGAGTCTGAATATTTCCATTTTCGTATGAGGACACTAAAGTTTGGAGTCCTTATTAAAGTCATTTACCCAGAAGTCACACGGCTAGTAAAGGCTGGAGCTCAGAGCTGAGCTCAAGGCTGTCTACCTTCATCGCCTGGCCTTTTCCCATTAAGCCGTGCTGCCACCCAGCGTTTGCTTTGTCCAGTGTTACAGGACCGTTGGTAGTTAGAAGGCCCTTGGAGAATGGGGATCTTTGGTGAGGCTGCCGAGCTCTGCCTCTGTGACGACTGGGTTTAGAGAGCAGCCCTCGTCAGACGTGCTGGCTTCTTGTGGCCTCTGAGGTCTGGAACTTGGGGCTTCTTTGTATGTTCCTCTTGCCCAGGTCCAAAATTTTAACTGGAAATCTCCAGTCTCTCCTGTGGGCATTTTCCTTTGTTTGCTTTGACTGTGTTTTTTGAATGTGGGACTGGGGAGAAATTTAATTCCAACAATATTTACAAAAACTGACCATTTTTAGGGTACTGACCCAGGCTTAGAATTGAGGAGAAAGGAGAAATAAAAAGACCATGCAGAACCTATTTGCCCTTAAGGAACCGTTTTCAATCATCTGTTAGATACAGCAGTCTAAACCTTATGTAATGGTCTAGACCTGGTTGATTCTGGAATGGAGACCTTCATCAGCTGGAATTCTCACTTCTGAGAACTGGCTGTTAGTGAGGAGGATGGTTTAAAAGTAGACGCTATGAGAGTATTCTCTAGATCTGCTTTTGAATCCTGGCTCTGTCACCTTGGACAGATTATTTAATGTCTTTGTACTTTCAGTTTCCTCATCTGAGAATCAGGGTTAATAACAGTGTTTGCCTCATAGATTTGCTGGGAAGATTGAGTGATTGGAGTGGTATGAAGCATTCACAACAATGCTTTGTGTTAGAATGTGCGTGCGTATATGTATGTATCTGCACGTGTGTGGGAGGTGTGTGTACTTATGTGCGTGCATGCATGCGTGGGTGTGCCTAGCCACACGCACATGTGTGGGTTTGTGGGTCTGCGCGCATGTGTGTGAAGGTGACTGTGGTTCTGTGCTCACGGGTGTAGTGTCTGGTCATGCAGTCTGCAGCTGTTCACCCGTGTGCTTACGTGTGTTTGTTTGTTGGCTGTTGTTATTATTATTCAGGCTCAGTGTGTTGGTCCACTTGTAAGTCTCCTCCTGAGATTTCTTGGGATGTTTAAAAACTTGTCATAACCGCTTGTCCTCTGGAAACTCCCTTTTAGGGATAAGGTCAGAGTGGATTTAGCTTCTTTTTTCATTAAAAAAGCTCTGAAATTTTGCTTGTCTCCATTGTCAAGTTTTGGGATTTCATCTTTTTTTAAAAAAGATTTAGCTAATGCTGCCACCTCCTTTAAAATCTGTGTGATTGGTTTGTAGCTCGTGATGTTTCTGCCTTGGCNGGTTTGTAGCTCGTGATGTTTCTACCTTGGCTTTTATGAAGAAAGAAGTAGCTGAGAAAGAACTGCCTCCCTTGGAAGACTTGTATGACTAGAAATGTTGGATCCCTGTCCATGAATGTCCCCTCCCCTCACACAGCCTTGAGAAATACTCAGGGTCGTCACGCTCATTCCTTCAGATCAAATGTGTGAAGGAACTCCAGTTTAGATAAGATGGCCTCCTTGCTTGTTTCTTTTGTTGCTCAATGTCAGAAAGTCGTGTGTGTTGAAAGCCCTGGATTTTAGTTCACAGATGTCTTCATTTAGGGCTGAATAGGTCCTAACTGTCCCTGGCTAGTTCCCAGAATAAGAAATTATTCTTAGCTATCTTTGGGGCAAAATATTTGGAAAGAATTTTTGATCTGGAAGTTCCTGACTGTTTTCAGAGGACTGCTGGTAAATCAAGGGGATTTTCAGGTCTGAATTATCCACGTCAGGCACCACCAGGCCCTGCAGCAGTGAATAAAGGAAGCCAGCCTTCTAGCTTCTGACCCTCAGGGTGCTTTCTGTCCCCTGAACTGACTGTGCTATCCTGGCACTTTCTATTTTTGTTTAAAAGGAAAAAGAAAAAAGTTAAAAGTAATAAAAATATGAATGAAAGTGAAAAAAAGTGAGTCAGTCATGTCCAACTGACTTCATGTTTGCAACTCCATGGACTATACACTCCATGGAATTCTCCAAGCTGAAATCCTGGAGTGGGTAGCCTTTCCCTTCTCCAGGGCATCTTCCCAACCCAGGGATAGAAGCCAGGTCTCCCACATTGCAGGGAGATTCTTAACCAGCTGAGCCAGCAGGGAAGCCCATGAATTAAAATAGTCAGTATCAAAATAAGGTGAAATGTGGTGAAAGTTAAACCAAGTAAACTAGTAAAACAAATCCCAGTGTTCCAAGGATTACTAAAGACCATCAAGCACCGTTTCTATTATTAATATGTGCCATGCACTAACTGGGACTCTCTTTATAGAACAGATTTTTCTAAAATGATGAGTCCAGGGCTGAGAACCTGATTTAAAGATCTTCAGTTAGAGCAGGTCTTTGTGGAATCATACCCACCTCTCTGATGCCTCAAGCTAGAGCCCTGGGCCTTGTGTACCTGCAGGAAACAGAAACACACTTGAGGTTTAGCTGTCTGTATTTACTAGAATAGAAACTTCTTTCAGGCGAAGACTTTCTTTGCATGGCTTTCTTATCTCTAACTGCTTGTTTTGATTGGTCAACAGATCTTCAGTTAAGCCAAGGGTAACCAGTCCTACTTCCCTCATCCAGCTTCAAGCTCGGTTACTCTTTGTTCTCTAAGTTACTTGAGAATAAAAGACTTTATCTTACTATTCGTATTGAGTGCCTCTCATAGTGCGTTTTCAGTACACGATTCTTAAGCTGAAATGGTCTACCCAGCTTCAAGGACAACTTGGAGCATAAAGCCTTGACGCCTGGTTTCCTGGCTCATTTGTGTTTCTCCTTTATTAACTGGCACAGAGGTAGGCTCAGCGTGTATTGAATTGAAATGAACTGCTGCCCCCCTTTCTGCTCCCAGGGTCTGTATTCCAGTGTCGTGTGCCCAGGTACGATGCTGACCAGTCTGACATATGGAATCCTTCCTCCCTTTGTGTGGATGTTAATCATGCCAATCATATGGCTGGTGAGTGGTAAATGCTTCTTCTTTTAGTTTCCTTAAGCTGTTCAAGTCGGAGCCAAAAAGATGTGCTTAAGGGTTGGGAAGTGCTTTAAGTAACTGAACTTGGAAGTGGCAGAAGTCCATTTCCCTCAAAAGTGTTGATGTTACTTACTATGTAATCTCTGCTTCATCCCGCCTGATACTCCCACTGCACCACCATCTTAGTGTGCACGTCCCATCAAGGGAATGTTTCTTTGATCACGCACCATATAGCCCAGGAGTTCTATGATTATATAATTTTGAGAAACCTGTGGTAAGTGATATCAAACTGGATTTCTCTGAGCTTTTAATATAGTCAAGTGCATTAAACTTTCCCAAGGAGGGTATGATTGTGCATTGTATGATCACAGTATCTTGTTTTTGTTTGTTTGTTATGTTTGTATTTTGAGCATCCCTCTAGCACTCTTTAAAAAATGCTGCTTTCAGGAAATGTCCTTCCCTTGTAGAGCTCAGGAAGAAATATCTTTCTGTTTATGGCAGGCATGGGAAAAAGATGAGAAGGACATATGCCTTCATGTTGAAAGTGGTTGACTTGGAGTAATGGAGATTAAATGATGGAAATTATTTCTTCTTTAGATTTATTTTCTGAAACTGAAAAAATGCTTTGTAATAAGGAATGCAGTTTGTCTTTTAACATTTAAATGGGTAATACTTTTGTGACTCTAAACCACCACAAAATGACTATTGTTTTCTTTTTCTCAGTTACGCTTTTTTGCAAATGCTTTCACGTTGACACCTCACAATGGAACAGAAGCACTGGTATGTTACTAGAGTTTTAATATGTTGTATTCACTTCACAGATGTAGACTGTAAATTCACTGGATTAGAAGCAGTCGTAACAGAAAAGATGAGAACAGGCTCTGTATAAATAAGCAAGGTCCTATTGGACTAAGGTGAGTCATAAGGTGAAATGTTGATGATTAGGAGTGAACTCTGAAAGTTCAGTATGTTTCCTGGCACTGAGTGCCGTGGTTCTGGGGTCAGCACTTCTGTAGAAGCAAGAGGCATGAGCAGCCAGAGGGGAGCGGAGCTCTCCTTCCACGCTGTAAGGGCAGGCAAAGCAGATGTTGGCTGGGCAGTCAGTGTGAGATTCCCACGGAGAAGGTGTGTCTCAGGGGTCAAGAGTAGAGGCAGCAAAGTCCAGCTCCATTTCCCAATCTGAAGATTCTCTTTTCCTGTATTAATAATAGAGAACTGAGTTATTAACTTGATTAGAAAACCGGTTTGTTTCCTTAAGTCACTCATGCAAATGGACTGCACGTGTTTCCTCATCAGTGGCAGACGTTACTAATGGATCATAATACTCTGTTCTGTTGTACATAAATGAATCTCTGAATATTTTTCAACTGAAGGCCCCAAAGACATTCCCTACCAGTGGATGAGAATTGTCATACAAGATGAAATGTATTTGTCCTCTGTGCTGTATACCATCTGGTTGAAATTCCACTGTATTAACAGTCAGTTCTGTGTGTGTGTTTCCCTCACTCCACTTAGCTCCTTCAGGATTTTTGCTCTGTATTTTAGAAACCTGAGAGCCTATCACTAGAGTGTTCATACTTAACAGATTCTTAAATCATAGCTGAACTGAAATTAAGGAAAACACTAAGGGAATTGACTTGGCACTGTTGTTATGGTAAACATTGCAGAAAGAAATGCATTTATTGTAGAGAGACAAATTGATAATAGAAGCAAATACTTTTAAACTAATTTTACGTATTTCTTAATATATTTGTCAAGCCATTTAAAATAATGAATGATTGTTTAGGGATTACTCCTTCCACACATTTACGACACTGAAAATCAAATCTAGAGGTCAAGTATATATTGTGTCAGAGGAGTAGGAATAGTTAAAATTCAGAATCTCCAGTTGCTAAGGAGCTTAGAGTCATGTTTAAAAAAAATGAATAGAGAAAATAGACAAGAAAATCAGACATTCTGTCATCTGGTGGCAAGTACTCTAGGAGTGATCAGAACAGAGGATCACTATGGGGCTGGACTGGTTGGAGCAGGCACTGCTTACTGAGTCAGGCTTAACTTGGGCTCTGAAGGATAGGTTGAATTTGATAAGATCAGCGGCAGGTCCCCAGTGTCATGTTCAAAAAGTTTGTGACCTGCTGAAATTTCCTTCAGTGTGGATGAGTAGGATGTCTTTACCACTTAGTGATGATGGTATATGCTGGGGCTACACATGAGGGTTTGAGCACACCATATGTGTAGCAAGAATCTCTTCAACCTTTGGTTGAATACACTTTATCTCCTTAAATGGGCTGAGCTTGAGTGGCCTAGAATACAGTGGTTAAGAATGTGGACTGTAGAATTATAGTAATTCTGTTCAAATTCCATTTCTCCAGTTTCTGACTGTGAACTCTTGGGCACATTTTTTACTTGCCTAAGCCTTTTATTATTAGCTGTAAAATAGGAATTACAGGAGTAAATGAGAGAAGGCTTATTGTAAGGGACTTTGTGTATTTCAGCATTTAAGATTTTAAAGAAAACCATCTTAATGAAAATAATGTAGTGTTGGCATGTGAATTGACAGATCAATGGAATAAAATAGAAAGTTTAGGATGGGCCCAAAGCATATAGGTGATGCAGAAAATCACCTATGCAGAAAATCAGTAAGGGTAAAGATGGTTTATTCAACAAATGGTGCCAAAAAACAAAATAGGATCTTTTCTTCATACCTTACAGTCAAATAATATTCTAGGTAAACTAAAAGATTTATGTATAAATGTAAGAATGTATAGTTACTTGGAAAAAATATGGGGACATTTTAAAATAATTTAAGAGTGCAGAGGCTTAACTATTCCCAGGAACTCTAAAAAACTGAAAAAATTGATTAAATAAAAGTAAAAAAAGATTACATGACTAAAATTCTCACTATATAGATACTCAAAAGATTTACCACAAAATGGAAGAAAAATACTTGCTACCCATAACATAGATAAAGGTTAAATTTTCTTTCTTTCTTTTTTTTTATCACAAAGAAAAGGCTATACAGTTTATTTTATTTTATGCACTGGTCATTCCCATAAAATGCTTGGCTCTCATTATAAAATCCTGTTGAAAACAAAACAGTACAAAAAAGTTTTTGGAGTTTAACTAAAGCACTAGAACTTGATAAGCATATAGCTGATTAACTTCTCACTTCATTGTACAGCAGAAACTAACACACTATTGTAAAGCCATTATGTTTCAATAAAAAATAAAATAAGAAAAAAAAGATTTTGAGGCCTTGTGTAAGCAAAGAACAAAAGATGTAGCCCTCTTTCACCTATGCTTACAAAGCACTTGCTTTTTTAAAAAATTTTTTTATTGAAGGATATTTGCTTTACAGAATTGTGTTGTTTTCTGTCAAACCTCAACATGAATCAGCCATAGGCATACACGTACCCCCTCCCTTTTGAACCTCCGTCCCATCTCCCTCCCCACCCCAGCCCTCTAGGCTGATACAGAGCTCCTGTGTGTTTCCTGAGCCACACAGCAAATTCCTGTTGGCTGTCTATCTTACATATGGTAATGGAAGTTTCCATGTTACTCTCTTCATACATCTCATCCTCTCCTCCCCTCTCCCCATGTCCATAAGTCTGTTCTCTATGTCTGATTCTGCATTGCTGCCCTGTAAATAAATTCTTCAGAGCCATTTTCCTAGATTCTGTATATGTGCATTAGAATATGATAGTTATCTTTCTCTTTCTGACTAACTTCACTGTGTATAATAGGTTCTAGNCAAGACAGTATGGTACTGACACAAAAACAGAAATATAGACCAACGGAACAACATAGAAGCCTGGAAATAAACCCATGCACCTATGGGTACCTTATTTTTGACAAAGTAGGCAAGAATATACAATCGGGCAGACAGCCTCTTCAGTACATGGTGCTGGGAAGACTGGACAACTACATGTAAAAGAATGAAATTAGAATATTTCCTAACACCACACACAAAGATAAACTCAAAATGGATTAAAGACCTAAATGTAAGACCAGAAACTGTAAAACTCATAGAGGGAAACATAGGCAGAACACTCGATGACATAAATCAAAGCAAGATCCTCTATGACCCACCTCCTAAAGTAAGAGAAATAAAAACAAAAGGAAACAAGTGGGACCTGATTAAATTTAAAAGCTTTTGCACAGCAAAGGAAACTATAAGCAAGGTGAAAAGACAACCCTCAGGGTGGGAGAAAATAATAGCAAATGAAACAACTGACAAAGGATTAATTTACAAAACAAGCAGTTCATACAACTCAATACCAGAAAAACAAACAACCCAATCGAAAAGTGGGAAAAAGACCTAAACAGACATTTCTCCAAAGAAGATATACAGATGGCTAACAAACACATGAAAAGGTGCTCAACATCGCCCATTATTAGAGAAATGCAAATCAAAACTACAATTTTGATTAATTGTAAATTAATTACTAAACATTACTAAAATTTACTAAATTTACTGGTAATTTTACTAAAATTACTAAATTTTCTTAATTGTTAAGGAACGTCAACAAATCAAGGAAAACAACTTATTGGAACAATGGGCAGAGGACATGAACAGAGAGTTTTGAAACTTTTAATCATATGAAGAAATGCCTAATCTTCGAGAAATGCAAATTAAAACTCTAATGAAAAACTTTCACCTCTGATTAGCAAAGATTAGAAAGTTTAATGTATTGATACTGTATTGGCAGGGGTCTAGGGAAATGAGCACTCTGCTACACTGCTGGAGAGAGTAGTCTGATACAGCCTCTGTCAAGGACTGTTTGGCGATATCATCCAATATAATAAATACACATACCTTTAACCTAGCAATGCCATCTTTGGTATTTATCTTATTTAAGATAAATAAGATATCCTCAAACTTACATTGAATGATTTAGTCATCATTCATCACAGTGATGTTTGTAATAGCAAAAACTGGCAAAAACTTCTATATCAGTTGGAAACTTTATGTAAATTATGGCACATCCATAGAAGGATGCTACTTTGAAAGAGATTGAAATTTTCATGTACTGGTTTGAAAGTATCTCCAAGGCCTGTTGTTCAAGTAAAAAATGTAAAGCATGGAATAGTGTATATTTTGCTTCCATTTGCCTAAGAGAAATGGATGTATTTGTTTTTTTAACCAAATACATTTTCTTTGGAAGAATATGCAGAATACTAACATGAGTGCTTGCTTCCAGAGAGAACTGGGTGGCTAGAAAACTGAAAGGGAGGAAGAGTTTTGACCACCATGTACATCTTTTGATTATTGTACGTGTACATACTCATCTATTAATAAAATTAAATATTACATCAGTGACCTGTACTTTGCTGTCGTGTCAGCTGAGTATCCTCTTGGAGTGAGCTTCAGTTCACATGTCCTGAGCTTTAATTTGAGGGTAAAGGGAAAAGTCAGTTAAATATGGGAACTTTCGCTTAAAAATTTTCAAAGGATGCTATTAAATGGGCTATTCTTTCTTCCTTCAAATTATAGTTGTGGTTCATGCCAGCATCACAATCAGCTGATGCTATTCAGGGGGGTTGTCAGAATTTGTCTGGGACTCTCTGAAGTGCTGATTAAAAATCCCCTCCAGCCTCACTCACTGTGGGCAGAAGAGAAGAGTCACTGACACCCTCTTCCTTTCCAGGTCTGGCTTTTCCACCAAAAGCCCGAGTCTCTCAATCCCCTGGTGAAATATCTGAGTGCCACCACTGGCTTTGGAAGCAATTATGTGACGTCCAAAAAGGTGACTCTCTTTCCTTTGTTTCACTGAAGAGGCTGATGGTGGGCTGTTCCCTGGGTTCCCGACCACCCTACCCGCTGCCCAAATTCTCTTCTGTGGGTCTCCCTTCTCTGCCATCACACTGGCCTATTTTAATTTCTTTCTGCTCTCTCCTGCCTTTTAGCTTGGCACACCTTTTCTCCACCTAAACTGCTCTTACCTGTCTTTTTCCTGATTCATTATTACTATTTATTCTTAAGATCTCAGCTTTTATGTGACGTTTTACATCAGGTCAGGTGTTCCATACTAGATTTTTTTGACCTCCTGTGCCAGTTCTGGGTAGAACTCATTCAGCAGTGGGCTCCCTGCTCCAAGGAGTTCTGTGAAGGAGGGGATTACAACCGCTTTCCTTGCAGGTTACCTTGCACATGGCACATGCTCAAGAAATGTGACCCAAGTTGAATGAAATATAAAACATCTTTCTGAGTGAAGTTAGCTTCCCTTTGTGTACCACTTATGACAATTATTAGCTTTAATAGTTTGATATTTGAAGAGGCAGGGGACAGAGTTTGGAAAAATGGGTGCTGTGTTTTATAGATTCTGTGTTATCTAAAATGAAATTAAACATAGGTAAATAGTAGAAGATGAAAAAAATTATTTTGACCCCATAAGGATTAATTTTGTTATATTTTTTTCATGAGTAAGGTTTATTTCAGCCTCCCATTTTTGACTGCCTAGCTTATTGTGAGGAGGCAATGGCATAAAATAAAATTCAGTATAGTTCAGTTCACTCAGTCATGTCCAACTCTTTGCAACCCCATGGACTGCAGCACGCCAGGCTTCCCTGTCCATCACCAACTTCCAGAGCTTACTCAAACTCATGTCCATTGAAGGGATGCTATCCAATCATCTTATCCTCTGTTGTTCCCTTCTTCTCCTGCCTTCAATCATTTCCAGCATCAGGATCTTTTCAGATGGGTCAGTTCTTCACATCAGGTGGTCAAAGTATTGGAGTTTCAGCTTTAGCATCAGTCCTTCCAATGAATATTCAGGACTGATTTCCTTTATGATTGACTGGTTGGATCTCCTTGCAGTCCAAGGGACTCTCAAGAGTCTTCTCCAGCACCACAGTTCAAAAGCATCAATTTTTCAGTGCTCAGCTTTCTTTACAGTCCAGCTCTCACACCCATACATGACTACTGGAACAACCACAGCTTTGACTAGACGAACCTTTGTTGACAAAGTAATGTCTCTGCTTTTTAATATGCTTCCTAGGTTGGTCATAACTTTTCTTCCAAGGAGCAAGTGTCTTTTAATTTCATGGCTGCAGTCACCATCTGCAGTGATTTTGGAGCCCCCCAAAATAAAGTCTGTCACTGTTTCCACTGTTTCCCCATCTATTTGCCATGAAGTGATGGGACCAGATGCCATGATCTTAGTTTTCTGAATGTTGAGCTTTAAGCCAACTTTTTCACTCTCCTCTTTCACTTTCATCAAGAGGCTCTTTAGTTCTTCTTCACTTTCTGCCATAAGGGTGGTGTCATCTGCATATCTGAGGTTATTGATATTTCTCCCGGCAATCTTGATTCCAGCTTGTGCTTCTTCCAGCCCAGCGTTTCTCATGATGTACTCTGCATATAAGTTAAATAAGCAGGGTGACAATATACAGCCTTGACGTACTCCTTTTCCTATTTGGAACCAGTCTGTTGTTCCATGTCCAGTTCTAACTGTTGCTTCCTGACCTGCATACAGGTTTCTCAAGAGGCAGGTCAGGTGGTCTGGTATTCCCATCTCTTTCAGAATTTTCCACAGTTTATTGTGATCCACACAGTCAAAGGCTTTGGCATAGTCAATAAAGCAGAAATAGATGTTTTTCTGGAACTCTCTTGCTTTTTCTGTGATCCAACGATGTTAGCAATTTGATCTCTGGTTCCTTTGCCCTGTCTAAATCCAGCTTGAACATCTGGATGTTCATGGTTCACATACTGTTAAAGCCTGGCTTGGAGAATTTTGAGCATTACTTTGCTAGCATGTGAGATGAGTGCAATTGTGCGGCAGTTTGAACATTCTTTGACATTGCCTTTCTTTGGGATTGGAATGAAAACTGACCTCCAGTCCTGTGGCACTGTTGAGTTTTCCAAATTTGCTGGAAAATTAGATTGAAGCAAATAAGTTAGCTAAGACAGAGTCATACTTGACAGTGACCTTGTCTATATGTCAGTAGCTTGAGGTCTGAAGGGAACCATGCTCTCCACTTCCCATAGTATATGTTTACTGGAAATGAACCTAAGAACCTCCAGTGTTTTCCATACTATATTGTGTGAGATACTAGTTCCTTAAGAAGATTTGCAAAAAGCAATTTGTCATCCACGTAAGTTTGAGAAATGCTTCACATTATATTCCCCCCCCTTTCAGAGACCCGCACAATGCACATTATGCCAGCAAAGGCTTTGAGAAGTTGATACAGTTAGGAAATATGCCTGACGTGTTTCATCATGCTGTTTCTAAGTTGTTCTTGACTGTATGACGTTTTCTTTTCCTTTTAAAATTTAAGAATGCATAACAACATCCCAAGAAATATTTTGGGAACTCTGTGCTGTGTGCTAAGTTGCTTCAGTCATGCTTCACTCAACTCTTTGAGACTCCATGAACTGTAGCCTACCAGGCTCCTCTGTCCATGGGATTCTCCAGGCAGGAATACTGGAGTGGGTTGCCATTTCCTTCTCCAGGGGACCTTCCTGACCCAGGGATTGAACCAGCATCTCTTTGTCTTCTGCATTGGCAGACGTGTTCTTTACCACTAGCATCACCTGGGAAACCACCTTGGGAACACTACTGTAAACTAATAAGCTTACTTTTAGGTCCTCAGAATTTTTGAACTTACATATATTTATCTCAAAGGAATGACTGATTTACCAAGGGGATAAAATGTTTAATTCCATAAACCAAAGGACTCTATTAGCATTTTTTGGAAATGCATTGCAGAATGTTGTTAACCTTCGATTAATTTTGGGAAGTCAGCTTTCTGCTGTTTAAATGTTGGGTTGAATTAAAGAGAGCTGTAATTCCTCTTCCAGTTACAACATGAAAAAAAATGCTAACATGATTGAATGTAAATGTTTTTCCAAAATGTTTTAAAGTTTTCTTTAATTTTTAACCTTTTAGCTTTGGGGGCTGCCAGTTTGCTTTGCATACACTGTATCAGTTAAAATTAATTTTCTACATAAAACAGAAGAATGTAAAGTAAAGTGGATAAAACAAGATAAAAGCTAAGATTTCTTGCATGTAAAGCAGTTTGGAGAATGGCAGCTTTGGGCTGGCCTGGCAGCTTTGCAAATTGTCAGGTATCCAGGTTCCCCCTGCCATCCCTGAGGTACGGCCCGCATCCTTGTGGTTCAGAATAGCAGTGTGAAGAAGGGGGAAAGAAAGGGGTGCCCCATTCCCTTTAAAGAGAGTTCTGTGCAGTACCACACACTTCCACTTATATCTCATTGGCCAGAATTTAGTCCATGGTACCATTAGCTTCAGTGAAGGCTGAAGACTTAGTCTTTCATCTGCAGGGCACTGAGTTCAGCTAAGATCAAAGCTCTTTTACTAAAGAAGTTAGTTACTAGGAGGTTAAGTATCAGCTGTAATTAAAAAAAAAAAAAGTTAAGATTCCTAACATTCCCCACATGGCTTCCACCGCAGCTTTCCCACCAGGCCTTTTTTGGATTCTCTTACCTGTTATTTAAATGGATTCCTTTTATTCAAATACTGTTCATTTTTCCTTTCTAGTCATGCCTATCTTGCTTCTTTTCCAGATGGACCTAGATGAAGACACTGCTGAAAAATTTTACCAAAAGTTACTGAAACTTGAAAAGCAGATTAGGGTCACCATTCAGAAAACCAATAACCAGAACTGAAAATGATGCTTTCTGAAACATACTGTGCCTTTTGGGGATTCTGGAGTGCGTGGGTTTCTCCTGAGCTGGATCATGTGCATTTGTGGTAAACACTGATTTCAGATGGTCTCCTCATTGCAGAATCATCTCTATGATTATGTGTATGTGTGCATGTGAGAAAAGAATGTCTGATATTTTATCAGTCTCTAAGAATGATGTCACATCAAAGTCGTGCTAGAGTCACCCAACTGAGTATCTGTTTGTTCAGCTAGCAAGAGCACAAGCTCTACTTCATGGGATGAGGTGTTGACTTGAATAATTATGACACAGACACATACTGATTCTCCTTTCACCTGCCCCAGAAGGAGGACGTACTACTCATTCTCTGAGTAGCAATCTTAGCCTTGTTCTTCACAAGTAGTTTTCCCTGGTTTTGTACCTTATTTCTTCCTCCACATGCCACATTTAAAAATCCCGATACAGATGCCCATGTTATTAATCATCATAGTAACAAAAGTATATGTATTTGGGCCACCTGAATTATTTTCTCTTTATTTTAAAAGTATCTTTTATTGATATTGAGATAGTCCATGTTAATAGTGGGCCTGACCTTCACCACAGTTTACAAATGTATTACTGACCAACTTGTTTCCATGACATATTTTAGTGAATGTAATCCTGCACCAAAAATAATTTACTCAAATTGTTTCAATGAATTTACTCAGATTTTTCAATTGAATAATTACTGGTGGAATGTCTCTCAGTATCAGTAGTGGTCGAAAGTGATTAGGACTAGTTTGCATGATGTCAAGACAAAATGCTAAAATTCCTAGGTGTTTCAGCCAACATCTGGAATATTAGAGTAATATTTTGAATGAGTTAATATGAAAAATTACATGTAAATATAATGTCTGTATGTTTTAAAGTGTGGAATTTTGGTTATTCTTTCTCTGAGTTTGTTGCTAAAGATATTTTTAATAACTAAACATGAATGAAAATGAGAGCTGACCGCTCTCCATTCTCTTTGAGAAAGAAGGGTGAAGTTAGAGAGCTGAAGCATAGAACTGGTTTTCACTCTTCTGTTTACTCACTGTTAATTTGGAAGAAGTACATTTTTGTGGATCTCAAGCTTTCTGTCTGTGAAGTGGAATAATTATCTTTCTGTGTTCTCTGTTCATGGAAATGAAGTGAGAATTAAAGGCAGTAATATATGTGAATGAATAAAGAGCATTTTTTGAGAATGATGACTACACAGTATTTATTAGAGATTACTAAGCCAGTGTGGCATGGTTGAAATATCACTGTGTGAGGCACTGAGTGGCCACATCCCCTCTGACTGAAAGTGGCCTCTGTTTCTGGACTTTTTTTTTTTTTAATTAAAGTATGGTTGATTTACAGTTTCTAGGTGTAGAGCAAAGTGATTCAGCTATATTCAGTTTTTCAGATTCTTTTCCACTATAGACAGTTACAAGTTACTGAATATAGCTCCCTGTGCCATATGGTAGCTCCTTGTTTATTTATTTGTAGTTTGTGTCTGTTGTTTATTTGTAGTATGTATCCGTTATTCTCCAACTGCTAATTTAAATCCCCCTCCCCCGCCATCCCCTTACTTAACCCCAAGTTTGTTCTCTGTCTCTGTGAATCTGTGTGTATGTTTTAAATCAGTTCATTGCATCAGATTTTTAGATTACGCATGTAAGTGATATCCTGTGATATTTGTCTGTCTGACTCGCTTCACTCACGACACTCTCCAGGTCCTTGTTGCTGCAGATGGCGTTAGTCATCCTTTCTCCTGGCTGAGCGGCAGTGAGCTGGGCACTTTATACACCACACCTTTACCCATTCCTCTGTCGGGGACGTTCAGGTGGCTGTGATGTCTTGGCTCACGGTGCTGCTGTGACACAGGGGTGCATGCATCTTTCCCAGCTAGTTTCCCTCCCCCAGATGTATGCCCAGGAGTGGGGTTGCTGGTGTTGGGTTCAGTCTCTGAGTCAGGTCCAGCTCTTCACAACCCTGTGGACTGGACCCCCCACTCCTCTCTGGGATTCTCCAGGTGAGAATATTGGAGTGGGTTGCCATTTGCTCCTCCAGGGGATCTTTCCAACCCAGGAATCAAACTGTGTCTCCTGTGTCTCCTGCATTGCAGATGATTCTTTACCCACTGAGCCACCAGGGAAGCCTGCGATTGCTGGATCATTTGGTTACTATTTTTAGTTTTTTAAGTAACCTGCATACTCTTCTCCATAGTGGCTGTACCAGTTTACATTCCCACTAATAGCATAGGAGGATTCCATTTTTTCCACACCCTCTCCAGCACTTACTATTTGTAGAATTTTTGAAGATGGCTACTCTGACTGCTGTGAGGTGATACTTCATTGTACTTTTGATTTGCGTTACTCTAATAAGTAGCCATGTTGAGTTTTTTTTCATATGCATTTTGGCCATCAATATGTCTTCTTTGGAGAAATGCCTGTTTGGGTTTTCTGTCCATTTTTTGGTTGGGGTGTTTGATTTTGTTTTAATATTGAACTGTATAAGCCATTTGTATATATTGGAAATTAGCCCCTTGTCAATCACAATTTTTAAATATTTTCTATTCTATAGGTTGCTTGATGGTTTCCTTTGCTTTTAAGCTTTTAAGTTTAATTAGGCCCAACTTGTGTGCAGGTCAGGAAGCAACAGGTAGAACTGGACATGGAACAACAGACTGGTTCCAAATAGGGAAGGGGGTAAGTCAAAACTGTATATTGTCACCCTGCTTATTTAACTTATATGCAGAGTATATCATGAGAAATGCTGGGCTGGAAGAAGCACAAGCTGGAATCAAGATTGCCGNAGTTGGTGATGGACAGGGAGGCCTGGTGTGCTGCGATTCATGGGGTCGCAAAGAGTTGGACACGACTGAGCAACTGAACTGAGCTGAACTGATGTCTTCTTGGATTGATCCCTTGATGATTATGTAATGCCCATCTATGTCTCTTATCACAATCTTCATGTTAAAATCTATTTTGTCTGATATGAGTATTGGCACTCTAGCTTTCCTTTGATTTCCATTTGCATGGAATATCTCTTCCCATCCCATCACTTTGAGTCTGTATGTATCTCTAGATTTGAAGGGAGTCTCTTGTAGGCAACATATCTATGGGTCTTGGCTTTGTATACATTCAGGCAGTTTGTGTCTTTTCTGTTGGAACATTTAGTCTATTTACATTTAAGGTGATTATCAATATCAGTGTTCTTGTTTCCATTTTGTTCATTGTTTTGGGTTTGTTTTTGTAGATCGTTTTTCCTCTTTCTTGTGTTTGTATTATGTTTAGAATCCTTTTTTAATTTGTATATATATTATAGATTTTAGGTTTATAGTTATGACGAGGTTTTTAGTTAGCAGTCTCTCTATATATGATTGTTTAAGTTGCTGATATGTTAATTTCAAAGGCATTTAAAATACTTTGCATTTGTATTCTCCTTCCCTCATGATTACTGTTTTTGATATATATTTTACACCTTATTTTTGCTGTGGACTCTTTAGTCTTTACACAGCCTGTTTCCTAATGGGTGGGACTGTGTCCCTGCCCATTTAGTTCTTTTGCCTGAGGTGTCCCAGCACTGGAACCTACAGGCTGTTGGATGGGGGCCAGGTCTTGGCATTAACGGTCCAAGATGCCAGGATCGTTAATGTGCTGCATGGTCCTCAGCATGGCTCCCACCAGCGTCTTTTCCTGGGGTGAACTGCAGCTGCCCTCGCCTCACCAGCGCTCCCCAAGACCAGCAGGCAGGTCTGGCTCAGGCTCCTGTTAAGTTACTGCTTTTGTCCTAGGCCCCAGTGTGCACTGGATTTTGTGTGTGCCCTCTAAAAGTGATGTGTGTATTTCCCCCAGTCCCATGGGGCTTCTGCAGTTAAACCCTGGTGGCCTACAAAGCCAAATGCTCTGGGAGCTCATCTTCCCAGTGCCAGAAGCCTGGGCTGGAGAGCCTGACATGGGTCTCAGAACGCTTACTCCTGTGGGCGAACCTCTGCAATATAATCCTCCAACTGTGGGTCAGCCACCCAGATGTTACATGTGAATTCAGTATACTGTGAATCCGCCTCTCCCACCTCTCTCACTGTGATTCCTTCTCTGTCTTTAGCTGCAGAAGACCTTTTCTGGTGGGTCCTGTCTTTGTCACTGATGGTTGTTCTGCTGGTAGTTGTAACTTTGGTGTGCTCGTGAGAGGAGGTGAGGTCAGGGGCTTTTCTATTGTGCCATCTTGGCCACTTTTCCTACTCTGTTTTCTGAATTGTTGAGTCATCACGTTGGAGCAACATCAGGCCAAGTGGGAGGGTTTGGAGGGAGGAGCATGGGCTCTGGAACTGGGCAGACACTGAGTCAAATTCATGACTTTGGGCAGGTTGCTTCAATTTACACCTCAATTTAATTTTAAATATTTGATGCTTACCTTGCCAAATTGTGAGATTATATCCTAATATATGTGTGCACACATCATAATGTATTGTAATACATGTGCTGTCAATATAACCTATTACTTAATTCTGTTCCACATTAAGTACCCAAAAGGAGATTTTAAACATGAACTAAATTCTGACTTCAAGTCATTTATGATATGTCAGTAGGTTAGTTCTACATATTTTCTGAGTCATTTCATCCAGTTTCCCTAAAATGGAAAACAAATCATAGTCCCTTTAGACGTTAACTATCTGACATACTTACTACATTTTTAATGTAATGTTACTATACAGAAATAAAATATGCAATTTCCATACCAACAGAGGCACAAAGAAAAAGAATACCCAAGCCATCCAAAAATATAATAAATTAGAAAGGGGAAGAAGCTGATTATGGTACTAAGAAAGAACAAGATGAATGAAAATCCCAAATTAGTTTTAAAATGTATTCAAATGCTCTCAAAAATCTATAAGAGAGAACTATCATATGATGCAGGATTTCTATTCTTGAGTAAATATCTAAAAAACAAACCCATAACACTAATTCAAAAAGATACATTCATCCCAAATGTTCATAGCTGCATTATTTACAGTTGCCAAAATACTGAAGTAACCTTTGTCCATCAATAGATGAATGGATAAAGAAGATGTGGTTATATATACAATGGAATACTATTGTCTTCAAAAAATGAAATTTTGTCTTTGTAACAACATAGATGGACTCTGAGGGGATATTTTGCTAAGTCAGAAAGACAGATACCATATGATATCACTATTATGTGGACTTAAAATCAATAGTGACTGTAGTGAAAGAGGCTCACAGATACAGAGAACAAGCCAGTGGTCACCAACGAGGGAAAACAAGTGGGAGGGGCATGGTGGGGCCAGGGGATTCAGAGAGGCAATCTACTGTGTATAGAATAAGGTACAAGGCTATCACAATATTTAATAATCGCTATAAATGAGATATAGCCTTTAAAGGTTATGAATCATTATGTTGTACACCAGAAACTATATCTATAACCTCAACTTTTAAAAAACAACCAGAATATTTAAAAAAATGCATATATTCAGATACATCAAGATTAATATAAATGGAATAAATAAGCTAGTTAGTTAAGCAGTTATTAGAGCTGGTTAAATATTTTTTTTAACACAGCCAACTACTATAACAGGATGATTTATGTAAAGGTCAAAAGTAAAAGGATGAGAAAATATATGCTTGGCAAATATTAATAAAAGTTAGTAAGCTTGTTTAGTTATATTAATATCAGATAAAATACAAAAGCATTTTTAAGGGCTAAATGACAAGTTTAAAAACTGAGAGGTTTTATATACATAAATATAAATATATAAATTCATATATATGAATTTATATAGCTATAAATTCATGTGTACATTTAATGCTTAAAATATAAAAAGCAGTTTACAGAATTATAAATTTCAGGGATAAATTGATAAATTCCACAAGTTTAATAGATAATTTTAATAGACATCACTTATTGTTTTATTAATCATGCAAAAAATAGTAAGCATATGGAAGATATAACAGTTAATAAGCTTGACCTGATGAATATGTATCTATAACTTACTAGTTGGTTAACCATATATATTCAAATTAATATATAACAATTCATGAACCTATAGAAAACTAGACCTCAAAGTAAATCTCAACAGGTATTAAAAATGTGTATTATTCAAACCATGCCATAGATCATTTACAAGAAGGTAACCAAAACAAAGGAAAAAAAATTAATAAACCTCTTTTACTACTTTTAAACTGCTTGGTCAAGGAATATTGAAAATTAGAAAATATCTGCAACTAAATGACAAAGAAATTTCTACATATTAATGAATGAAACTCACTTACTGCCCTGTGGCACTGTGTGTGTAAGATATCATAACACCATAAAACTCCTAGAAGAGAACATAGACAAAACAGTTTCTGACATAAATTGTAGCAATATTTTCTTCTGCTCATCTCCCAAAGTAGTGGAAAGCAAAAATTGACACATGGGACCTAGTAAAACATAACCTTTTGGACAGAAAAGGAAACCATAAACAAAATGAAAAGATAACCTACACTCTGGGAGAAAATATTAGTAAATGATGCATCTGACAAAGCCTTAATTTCCAAAATATAAAAAGCTCAGACAACTCAGTTACAAGAAAAAACAAACAGCCTAATTAAAAAAAAAAAAATGGGGAGAAGACCTAAGTAGATATTTCTCCAAAGAAAACATACAGATGATGAATTTGTTGTTTAGTTGCTCAGTCCTATCCAACTCTTTGTGACCCCATGGACTGTAGCCTGCCAGGTTCCTCTGTCCGTGGGATTTTCCAGGCAAGAATACTGGAGTGGGTTGCAATTTCCTTCTCCAGGGGATCTTCCAGACCCAGGGGTCAAACCTGCATCTCTTGCATTGGCAGGCAGATTCTTTACCACTGAACCACCAGGGATGAATAGGCACATGAAAAGATGATCAACATTGGTAATTATTACAGAAATGAAAGTCAAAACTACAATGATGTACCAATTCCTACTAGTCAGAATGTGTGCTTAGTCACTCAGTCGTGTCCGACTCTTTGTGACCTCAGGGACTGGAGCCTGCCAGGCTCCTCTATCCATGGGGAATTCTCCAGGCAAGAATACTAGAGTGGGTTGCCATGCCCTCCTCCAGGGGATCTTCCCAACCTAGGGATCAAACCAGGTCCCCTGCATTACAAGCAAATTCTTTACCAGCTGAGCTACCAGGGAAGCCCTAGTCAGAATGGCCCATCATTAAAAGCCTACAAATTATAATTGCTGGAGCGGGTATGAAGAACCCTATACTCCTATACTGTTGATGAAAATTTATCAATAAATTGGTGCAGCCACTATGGAAAACAGTATGGAGGTTCCTTAAAGAACTAATGATACAATTACCATATGATTCAGCAATCCCATGCCTGGCTATGTATCTGGAAAAGACAAAAAATCTCATTTAAAAAGATACATGTACCCCAATCTTCACTGCAGTACTATTTACAACAGCCAGGATACAGAAACCCCCCTAAATGTCCATTGTTAAATGAATGGATAAAGGTACCGTATACACACAAATACACACACACACACACACACACACACACACACTGGCATACTGTTTATCCATTAAAACAAGGATAAAGTAATGACATTTTCAGTGACATATATGGACCTAGAGATTATCATATAAGTCAGAAAAAGACAAATATCATATATATCACTTATATGTGCAATATAAAATATGACACTGAAAGGTTACTGCCATGAACTGTGAATGGCCTCCAGAGGAGAGGATTTTGATCTGGGACCAGAGACAAGGCTTGATCACTCAGCCTTGAGTAGTAGTATGCTGCACATAAAACTTTTGTGTAGCAAAGTTTTATTAAAGTGTAAAGGGATGGAGAAATCCGACATAGACATCAGAAGGGGACAGAAAGAGTGCCCCCTTGCTAGTTTTTAGTAAAGCATTATGTACTTGTTAGCAAGCTGCTAATCGACTCGATGGGTATGAGTTTGAGTAAACTCCAGGAGTTGGTGATGGACANCGAATGAATGTATTTATAAAACAAACAGCCACACAGACATAGAAAACAAATTTCTGTTTACTGAAGGGAAAGGGCCAGGACAGGATAAATTAGGAGATTTGGGTTAGCTAATACAAACTTTGTTGTTTAGTCATTCAGGCATGTCTGACTCTTTGCAACCCCATGGACTGTAGCCTGCCAGTCTCCTCAGTCCATAGGATTTCTCAGGCAAGAATACTGGAGTGGGTTGCAATTTCCCTCTCCAGGGCATCTTCCTGACCCAGAGATATACAAACTACTATATATAAAATAGATATAGAAAAAGGTCCTACTATATGGCATGGGGAACTATATTCAATATCTGGTAATATACTGGAAAAGAATAGAAAAAAGAATATATATAGCTACATATATATAATTTATATTTAACTGACTCACTTTGCTATACCTTAGTTTCTAAGGTATAGAAACTAACACAGCATTGTAAATCAACTATACTTCAATAAAGTATTGAAGGAAATGAGGTCCAGGTTTGCCATTTTTATTTGGAGTTTAAAGAACATTGTGTTCATGCAGTATTAAATAAAAAACCTTTCTCTTTCTAGGGATGTACTATTTACCAGTAACAAACCAGGGCTGGATAAACTGTGTTCAGTGGCCTAATGTGACAGGGAAGTGATCCTACCTACTGTACCAGCCTAGGGTCCAGATGAGCCTCAGTCTTAACAGATTTTCCCAGTTGCTGCTCAGGGTGTACCAGATGGCCGAGGAAGTCCTCAGTCCAGAGTGGGAAATCCAGTTAACACAGCATTCTCCTCAAACCCAAATGAGTACGTTCTACACCTTTCACTCCACAAAGGAAAACCTCCAATTGTGGTATACTAGAAAAAAGGTATACCCTTGTATCAGTACACTCAAGGTTTTAACATTTACCAGAGATATCTTACAGATCAGACCAAGACCAGGAGCTCATTTCCTTTACCACAGAACTGAACAAGCCCTGGGCCAATGATGCCTAGTCAGTGGCCAGCACTCGGGACATTTCCTAAGACAAAAATTCTGGACAGAATCAGAAAGCCACCAACTGGGGGCTGATGTGTCACATGTGAAGTGCTCCCCTGGGACAGAGGTCCCTTCATGATCCCCAAAAACTACTGAACCAAACTTGGGTCCAACCATCTGTGTGCAGGAAAGCCAATCTGCTGACACTAGGTTGTGGTGAAGGACAGTACAACATTTATTGCAGGGCACCAAGCAAGCAGAATGGACATCTCATGCTGAAAACACCCGGACTCCCCAAAGGCTCTCAGGAAAGGCATCTTAAAAGCAGTATGAGGTAGGTGGCTGCAGTGTACACATAATCAGCTTGTGCATAATCCTTGGATTGGTTGGTAAAAAGATGAATTTTCAAGGACCATCAACTTTCTCATTTCAACTGGTCTAAAGTCACAGTTATGTGCCTACAGTCAGCAGTTTTCATCTGGTGGGGGTCTACTTCCCATAAAACAACTTAGGAATATATGTCAGGACTTTATGTCTTTGAGGGAATTGGGAGTTCAGTGATTCTGCTATGTGGCTGGTTTATAGTCTAGATTGTTAACAGTTTGCCAGCCTAACAGCTATCCTTATTTCTACCTTTTCACATTTCCTACTCATTGACTCTTGAGCCAGCCTTTTGAGACTCAGAGGGAGCCCGTGAAACTCAAGTCAAAGCCTTTTTCTTCAAAAGACAGGGACACAGAGGCTTATATATGATTTCAAGATGTGGAAGTTCTCTTTTATAAAGGGCTGACGAGGTGGCCGAGTGGTTAAGGTGACGGACTGCTAACCCATCGTGCTCTGCACATGAAAGTTTGAATCCCATCCTCATCGAGCTTTCCAGTGGTGGACCGTAAATTTGAGGTTTGCCCGGTGACTCAGTGGTAAAGAATTCACCTGATAACACAGGAGATAAAGGTTTGACCCCTGGGTTGACAAGATCCCATGGAGAAGGAAATGGCAACTCACTCCAGTATTCTTGCCTGGAAAATCCCACGGACAG